ATTTAAAAATGCCTACATTTTCTATAATTATATAGTAGCCCGGGTCATCAACTTGTCCAAATTTGCTTAGAGATCTTGAGCGATCTAATCCCGATCAAGACAGCGGTGAGACTTTTGATCTCAAAGAGTAGAAGGGGAGTGTCAATGAGGGGTCAGTCAGGTAGAGTAAAGGCTTGGGTTTCCGTTTTTGCAACGAATTTATTGTACTAGGCGCACTTTGTGCTTCATTCTGTAAACACATCACTTCTGATGCATTGAGCAGCTATTTACATCGAAATACAGCAACTATCCTTCGGTAATTCTTGCTATTTAGTGCGCCTAATGCGTTTTCTGAAACGTGCCCTTATTTTGTCTATCTGCCTAACTTTTAATGCTCTATCTTTTGTCTTTTAACATCAAAATAGATTTCTGTGATAAAAAGTGCTCAAATCAAATAAAAACTTTGAGTTTCAATCGTTTTTGACTACTTGACTTAGCTTTTGACTACTTGACTTGGCTTTTGACTACTTGATTTGGCTTTTGACTACTTGATTTGGCTTTTGACTGCTTGGCTTGACTTTTGACTGCTTGGCTTGACTTTTGACTACTTGGCTTGGCTTTTGACTACTTGACTTGGCTTTTGACTGCTTGGCTTGACTTTTGACTACTTGGCTTGGCTTTTGACTCCTTGACTTGGCTTTTGACTACTTGGCTTGGCTTTTAACTTTATTTTGGTCTACCTATTGAAAGATTTCGAGAAACCATAACTGAAAGAGCCAAAAATCAAAAAGAATCGGAACTTTGAATTCGATTTTTCGATTCAAATTCAATGATGGAAACACCAAAGTGACATCTTTCCATCTTTCCATCATTGACGTTTTCCACGTTTCTACCAAAAGGTTGGCGCTGAAATACTGACCTGCTCACCCCTAAATTTCCATTTATACAACCAGTACTACAATGCAATGTCTAATGTTTTGAATATGTTGCATTGTAACTGATAAACTTTTTTAACTAAAAAAATCAACACAACTTTAATAGCGAAAATAAAACAGCGAAAAAACGTGAAACAAAACAAAGTAAAACATGGCTTTGGATTGCCACCACTCGTTCCATCTTTTCGTGATCTTGTCAGGCGATATCCTGTCAGCCGAGCCGATGTCAAAAGCCAATTCTCATACTGTTGTCGGATTTTTGCTTTAAACGGTGCATTCCAAGAAATATCCGAAGGTTGCACGTATTCTGACGTTTCTCTGGGCACGTAGACACAATCCAAATTGATCTTCTCGAGATGCTCCTTTGTGCTGTCACTTTTGTTAGCCGCATGTTGGTCCCAGATCAGAAGCGACCGCTCTTTTTCTTAAAGAACACCGAACGCCGGTGTAGAGCACCGATTTCTTTTGTTCCTGACGATTTAATGCATTTGCTTGTCGGAGCATCCAGCCATACAGCCGTTTCATCGCAAGCGAAGATGTACTTTTAGGTGTTCTCCTTCTTGTTCATTCAATCTTCTTGTTCATTTCAAAATGTAGTCGACGAGAATCTTCTCAAATCCACTTGGGAGTTTCTGCACGTATTTTGTCGTTCCTCTGTGCATAATCCAAATTGATACAGACGAAATTATTGCTTTGTTGGAAAGAAAAGAAAAACAAATGCTTCGACAATGAGATACATCTTCTCGAGATACATTTGATCTTCTCGAGATGCTCTTTTGTGCTGTCACTTTTGTGAGTTGGTCTCAGACCAGAAGCGATCACTCGTTTTTGTTAAAGAAGACAATCTAAATTAATCTTCTCGAGATGCTCCTTTGTGCTTTCACTTTTGTGAGCCGCATGTTGATTATTCAACAGCTCTCAGCCGCAGATCAGAAGCGACCGCTCATTTTTGTAAAGAATCCAAGTGCTTTAAAAGTTCGCTTCAAGAATTCCTTTGTGATGTCATTGTTGAAGCATTTATTTTTCTTTTCTTTCCAACAAAGCAATAATTTGATTGAACTTTTGTTTCGATCTTTTTATCGAACGTTTCTCTCAGCATTTCTTTTTTCTCTCAGCAAAATAGTCTTGGTTTCTTTCTGTCAGATCGTCAGTATTCATCGTCCATCAGATCGTCCCTATTTTTATCCAATCTATCCACTTTTTGTCTTTCGCTGTTGGGCTGTTCAATTGGATATCCTTTGTTCGGATTTAATTGGATATTCAATTGGATATTCGAACTCGCAGAATCAGACAAAAGTTGATAAATTAGATAAAAATAGCAACAAGATTACGATAGAAAGAGAAAGGGGACATATTTCAGGCGATAGACGAACTGGCTGTGTTCCAAACTGGCTTCCGTTTACTCGTTTTCGCCTTTTCCCCCTTTTCCCCCTCTTTACATATATTGATTGATTGGGGACTGAGTGGGTGAGTGAGTCCCTTTCTTTTTTTGCATCTTCTTTTTTGCGTTTCTTTTTGCGATCCCTTTTCTCTGACCTTTTTCCCCTTCCCCCTTCTTTTCATACTCTTTTCCAATCCTCAATCTATCCACAGCCTCCCTTTTTTTCTCAACTATATTAGCTTTTTTGAGCGTTTTTAGAACCCCAATCTTTTTTCCCCTTTTCCTTTCTTTTGAATGAACTTTTAATGTTCTGAACTCATCTTTAGCTCTTGAATTTCCTTTTGGCCACCATTTTTTTCGTTTCTAAGTACACATTTTGAGTATTTGGTCTATTTTTGTCTTTGATCTATTTGTTAAAAAAGCCTGTAAATTAGAATCAGTTATTTTTAGCTTTTTAGCTGTAGGGTAATGCTTAATTTGTAGCCTACATTTAGACTTTCCCAAATCGATCTTCAAGTCCATCTTCAAGTCAAATTGAGTTCTTGAATTCCAAATCAAATTGAGCTCTTTTTTTTTTGAATTGAATTGAATTTCAAAAATCGATTACAAAAGGTTTTCTTTTAAGAAGGTGGCATTAAGAATGTTGGTAGAGAGTCGAATCCTCGAGCTGGTAAACGCCTGATAGAGCTGGTAAGCGCCTGCTAGAGCTGGTAAGCGCCTGTTAGAGCTGGTAAGCGCCTGCTAGAGCTGGTAAGCGCCTGGTGAGCTGATAAACGCCTGGTAGAGCTGATAAACGCCTGGTAGAGCTGGTAAGCGCCTGGTAAAGCTGGTAGGTGGTAGAGCTGGTAAGCGCCTGGTAGAGCTGATAAACGCCTGGTAGAGCTGATAAACGCCTGGTAGAGCTGGTAAGCGCCTGGTAGAGCTGGTAAGCGCCTGGTAGAGCTGGTAAGCGCCTGGTAGAGCTGATAAACGCCTGGTAGAGCTGATAAACGCCTGGTAGAGCTGGTAAGCGCCTGGTAGAGCCTGGTAGAGCTGATAAACGCCTGGTAGAGCTGGTAAACGCCTGGTAGAGCTGGTAAGCGCCTGGTAGAGCTGATAAACGCCTGGTAGAGCTGATAAACGCCTGGTAGAGCTGGTAAGCGCCTGGTAGAGCCTGGTAGAGCTGATAAACGCCTGGTAGAGCTGATAAACGCCTGGTAGAGCTGGTAAGCGCCTGGTAGAGCTGATAAACGCCTGGTAGAGCTGATAAACGCCTGGTAGAGCTGGTAAGCGCCTGGTAGAGCTGATAAACGCCTGGTAGAGCTGATAAACGCCTGGTAGAGCTGGTAGCGCCTGGTAGAGCTGATAAACGCCTGGTAGAGCTGATAAACGCCTGGTAGGGCTGGTAAGCGCCTGGTAGAGCTGATAAACGCCTGGTAGAGGGCTGATAAACGCCTGGTAGGGGCTGGTAAGCGCCTGGTAGAGCTGATAAACGCCTGGTAGAGCTGATAAACGCCTGGTGGGGCTGGTAAGCGCCTGGTAGGAGCTGATAAACGCCTGGTAGAGCTGATAAACGCCTGGTAGAGCTGGTAAGCGCCTGGTAGAGCTGATACACGCCTGGTAGAGCTGGTAAACGCCTGGTAGAGCTGGTAAGCGCCTGGTAGAGCCTGGTAGAGCTGATAAACGCCTGGTAGAGCTGGTAAACGCCTGGTAGAGCTGGTAAGCGCCTGGTAGAGCCTGGTAGAGCTGATAAACGCCTGGTAGAGCTGGTAAACGCCTGGTAGAGCTGGTAAGCGCCTGGTAGAGCCTGGTAGAGCTGATAAACGCCTGGTAGAGCTGGTAAACGCCTGGTAGAGCTGGTAAGCGCCTGGTAGAGCCTGGTAGAGCTGGTAAACGCCTGGTAGAGCTGGTAAGCGCCTGGTAGAGCGGGTAAGCGCCTGGTAGAGCGGGTAAACGCTATCAAGCTAGTAAACGCTATCAACCTGCTAAACACCCACTTACCCGACTGAGCCAAGCGGAGGAACTCTAGTGGCCAAAAAGAGAAGCTTTTCCCCTCAGCAGCCACCCTTCCACACTCCATCTATTTCCATTCATTTTCAATAATTTATAGCTCATTTGCCCGAATACCTAAATATTTCTAGATCGAAAATATTTTCTCTCAAAAATTCTCGATCATTTTCAACTTTTTCAGTAAATTTTTCTTTGTTTAAGCTATTTTTTTCAAAAGCTTTAAGATAAATAGAGAAATTCTTTGATCTTATCAAGAAAATTCTCAAAATCAAACGATTTTGCAACATTTTTCAGTGAAATTTCAACATTTTATTCAACTTTACGCTTTTTGTTCCGCTTTTTGATCCACTTTTTGACCCCTGAAAATCATACAATTCTTGGCCGATTCCCAGGAGGGATTTAGGCTTTTTGTGGAGTTTTTTTAGACAAATTTCTACCCGATTGACTCAAAAAAAACAGATTTTCCATGATTTTCCATGATTTTTCACTTAATCTTTTCAATTTCTAGTGATTTTTCAGAAAATTTTTAGAAAAACTTAGAAATTTCAATGTTCAGCTCTCTTTTTCACTAGTTTTTTCAATTTTTAGATTATTTTTAAAGTTTTAAGCTTATTCTATCATTTAGATTATCAATTTATATTTAGATTATTAATTTGCATTTAGATTATCAATTTGTATATAGAAAAGCTTTCAAAAATCTTATTTCTAGTAGTGAAATGGGCGGTGGAACTCCGGCTGAGGCTCAGCCACTGCAACGAGGCGATGGAGGAGTGAAATTGGAGAGGAAAATCAAGTAATGCTTTAAAATGTCGTAATCATTTGGATATTCATAGTACTTTAACTACTTACCGTAAAATACTGTAATAGTACCCCACCGCCCTCGTACAGTCGCGTAGTCGCAAAAGTTTTGTTTTGTTTTTTAGTATTTCATTTTTTTCAAAGCGCTCGTACTTTCAAAAATGCGTGTTTGGTATCAAAAAATAGCTGAAATTCAGGGCTATTTTTTGATACCTAAACGCGCATTGTAGCATAAACCAGTGCCGAGAAAAACTCGTCCAAAGCTAGACTACACAACGCTCCGCACTGTCATTATGGGGGTGGGGTACTATTACAGTATTTACGGTAGCTAAGGGTACTGTACTTGCGCATACGAATAAACGGTCAAATTCAGTCTATTCTCCGGCTGTGCGATCATCGTCGGTGTTATTGTCGGCTCGGGGATCTTTGTCAGTCCAAAAGGTATATCAAAAGTAAACGCGCTCTCTAGCGCATTTCAGTTTTCTTTTTCTTAAACAATTTAGTGTGTTTTCTGAACCAAAAAGCACACAAAACTGTTCTCTAGTTCTCTGGCGAAGTGTTACCTGGAAAAACTGATAAAGAAAGGTCACAGGCTTGAAAGCAGCAGGAAAGAAAAGGTGGAAAACAGAAAAGCGGAAAACAGAAAAGCGGAAAACAGAAAAACGGAGTTTCTGGTAGACTCAATTTTTCCGAAAAGCGAAAAGGCGGAATTTTCCGCCAATTTAAACGCCAATTTAAATTTCATTTAAAAAGGCAGAAAATGCGGAAAATGCGAAATCAAATTGATTAACAACCAATTAACAATTCAAGGGGCACTCCAGTCTAACTGGAGATGCTTTTGGATTTACACGTCGGTTTTGGACCGAGTCCTAGCACATCTTGTTCAGCTTTTTGCGCTGATTCCGATGGTGTATGTCGTTTGGGGATGACGGTTCTAAAATTTGTGAGATATTTCGCTTTAAAGTTTACGTCAAAATTGAGCATCCATGAAACCGCACATCCGGTCATAAGGATTCTACAGAGATCTGTAAACATGAGGTCGTGGCCTAGTGGATAGTGGCCTAGTGGATAGTGGCCTAGTGGATAGTGGCCTAGTGGATAGTGGCCTAGTGGATAGTGGCCTAGAACTGTCGCACTTTTGTCCCTGGGTCAACTCCGGCTTATAATGGCTTACATAGGCTTACAATGTCTTACAATGGCTTATATAGGCTTACATAGGCTTACAATGGCTTACAATGGCTTATATAGGCTTACAATTCTAGGTGTCCTCCTGGAAGCGGGCAGTGCCGGTGTCTCTCTTTTCGTTTGGTTACTATCGGGACTTTTCTCAATGATTGGCGCTTTATGCTATGCGGAATTGGGGACATCAATCCCGAAAAGTGGTGGAGATTACGCGTACATTCATGAGGTGATTCAGGATAAAAATGTCATTCTTTCAAGTCAGGAAATCAGGAAGTCATTCTTTGGGAACTTTCTGGAGAAAATGGAAACCAAAATTGAACGATAGGACAAGCTTCAGCAGTTCTTTCCCATCCCAGAATTCAGGCTTTCGGCGGTCTGCCCTCGTTCCTCTTTTTGTGGATGGCACTGGTGATCATCAATCCAACATCGATCGCGATCATTGGTGAGTTGAAATTGCCAACAAAAGCTCTAGTTCAAGCCTGGAACTGGCTTTCTGGCCTTGCCTGGAACTGACTTGGCCTGGAACTGACTTGGACCAGTTTTACAGCTCGTAGCCTGGTCTGGCTTTCGCTAGGTGGTCTGGGCTTGGCTTGGAGCTGACCTAGCCTTGACCAGACTTCTGACTACTTCTGATTTGACTTCTGGTCTAGCTTACAGGCTCTAGAGTCTCACTGGAACTCCAGTAGTGCAGATAAGTGAATATAAAGGCAGTGCTTGGTCTACTTATTGTTTTTCAAAAATACACTTATTAATTTGATACAAACAATGCACAAGTAAAACCCCTAAGTCCTAGGTAAGAAAACCTATAAATATCGATAAAAGAATCAATAATCTAGCCGGAATTGAACCCTGAAGATCCAGTCCAGATCCTCTCCATGAAGGTCCAGTACTCTTGGCCAGTCGGCTATTCTACGCAAATTTTACTATAAGCTATCAGACTTACTATAAGCTATAAGACTAAGCTTAAAAGTTACTATAAGCTTTATTTAGCTCTTACCTTTGGCAACTACTCGTTGAAGCCTTTCTTTCCGACTTGCGATGTGCCGGATGATGCGGTGAGACTGCTGGCGGCTTGTGTCATTGGTGAGTTACACTTAGGCTTAGGCTGTAACGTAGGGTACAGCGTTTACTAATGGTACCATTAGTAAACGCTGTACTCTACGATTAGTACACAAAACAAATCGATATCTATTGAGTCTGTACATCTAAAATGTCACTATTTACCTTGATTCTGTTTAAAACTTCTGAAATTCACCGATTGTTTTACGGTTGTTTTACGGTTTGCTTTTGTTGGAAACGTTTATCGTTACATATTGTCATTTTAAAGCATATTTTTAGCATAGTTTTAGCATATTTTTAGCATATTTGAGTCTGTTTCAATGTAATCTTGAGGAAAAACTCTCATTTTTTATGTAAACTCGTAAAATTGACATACAAAAAATGAGCTAGACAGACAAAAGAATTAGCTGGAAGATCAGCAATCAGCTGGAAGATCAGCAATCAGCTGGAAGATCAGCAATCAATTGGAAGATCAGCAATCAGCTGGAAGATCAGCAATCAGCTGGAAGATCAGCAATCAGTTGGAAGATCAGCAATCAATTGGAAGATCAGCAATCAGCTGGAAGATCAGCAATCAGCTGGAAGATCAGCAATCAGTTGGAAGATCAGCAGTCAGCTGGAAGATCAGCAATCAGCTGGACAGATTGATCTGAAAATTTGACTAGTACTCACAAGGGAATGATCCAAATTAAGGTGACCGTTTGGGATGAGTGATACCTCATTCGATAGATCTCAGAATGACCAAAAAAGTTAGCTGCCGATAGCTTTATAAGTTCTAAGTTAGCTGCCGACAAGGAGCCGTTTTTAACCCTTCTTCGTGAGGCTGTAACTTTTTACTGAATCAATATTTTTAAAAAATCTTTTCTACATATAATAGAACTTGAATGAAACTAAAAAATAGTAAAATTTGATTCCCAAATTATTTATAAAATTTTACATTTCAAAGCAATTAAATTCACATTGATTTTAGCCAAAGTTTATTGAACTTTTTTTATAGGAATATCTTAAGTTCTTATAATTAATGAAAGTTTATTTTTTGGTTTCATTCAAGTTCTATTATATGCAAAAAAGATTATTTGAAAATATTGATTCAGTAAAGAGTTACAGCCTCACGAAGGAGGGTCAAAAACGATTAATTTGACGGCCCCATTTATCGTTGTAGAGTTGCTTTCGGCAGCTAATTTTTTGGTCATCAATTTTTATCATGGGATCTATTGAATGAGGTATGACTCATCACTTTAACTTTGGATCATTCCCATGTCATTCCTCTCATTCAAACGGTTACTTTGGAACATCCTCTTGTCATTCCTCTCATCCTCACCTCAACTTTGGATCATTCCCTTGCCATTCCACTCATCCTCACCTTAACTTTGGATCATTTCCATGTCATTCCTCTCATCCAAACGGTTACTTTAACTTTGGATCATCCTCTTGTCATTCCTCTCATCCTCACCTTAACTTTGAATCATTCCCTTGCCATTCCACTCATCCTCACCTCAACTTTGGATCATTCCCTTGCCATTCCACTCATCCTCACCTCAACTTTGGATCATTCCCTTGCCATTCCACTCATCCTCACCTTAACTTTGGATCATTCCCTTGCCATTCCACTCATCCTCACCTCAACTTTGGATCATTCCTTTGTCATTCCTCTCATCCTCACCTTAACTTTGAATCATTCCCTTGCCATTCCACTCATCCCCACCTTAACTTTGAATCATTCCCTTGCCATTCCTCTCATCCTCACCTCAACTTTGGATCATTCCTTTGTCATTCCACTCATCCTCACCTTAACTTTGAATCATTCCCTTGCCATTCCTCTCATCCTCACCTCAACTTTGGATCATTCCCTTCTCAGTAGTACTCAATCGAATAACATCTGTAATTCGTACTTGTAATCTTTGATTTTAGTCAAGATTCCTTCTTTTTTCAGCCCTTCTCACCTTTCTCAACTGCTACTCAGTCTCATTGGCTACAAAGGCGAACGATGTGTTCACTGTCACAAAAGTCTCAGCTCTCATCATTATCATTTTCACTGGAATTTTTTGGTTGATCATTGGTAAGTGTGCTCGAAAAAACACAGCCTTTTTGGTACAGTGAGCGCTTTTTGGCACTAGAAAGGATGTGTTTCCACTTGAAAAGTACACACAATCACACTTAGGTCACACCGACTACTTCGAGATGCCCGAAGTAATGGAAGGGACAAAATACGCACCCTCATCTCTCTCATTGGCTTTCTACTCAGGAGTATTCTCGTTCTCTGGATGGTTGGATCTTTTCAATGATCATTTATGACTTTTTTTTAGGAGTTATCTCAACTTTGTCACCGAAGAGTTGCAAGAGCCATTCAAGAATCTCCCCCGTGCCATTTACATCTCAATCCCCGCCGTCACGATCATCTATTTTCTCGTCAATGTTGCCTACTTTGCGGTTTTATCAGTGGATGAGGTATTTTTGAAGTTTAGATCAGGTTAAAATCTAGAAAACCATTGTCAGAGTCATTCCTAACCTTTGGTCTAAAGCTTTCTAAGTTCTAAGTCAGGTCAGGAACGCAAACTGATCTGGTTTGAGGTCCAACTAATCTCAAGTTTGAGTCTGATATAATTCTGCTTACACCTCCTCTTGTCTCTGCTTCATCTAAATCAGAAAAATGAAAAATTTCAAGCTTTAAAATACACTCTATCAAAAATTATAGACTTTAGTTTAGACTTTAGTTTAGATTTTAGACTTTAGCTGCTTTTTTGCTTGTTAAGCTTTGCTTTAGCTGCTTTTTTGCTAGTTAACCTTTTGGTAGGCGCGCAATGGTAGCTATTATGTTAGAAAATGTTTTTTTAGTTTCTTTATCTCAAAAAAATAACACCATTTTAATTAAAAACCTACAGAAACATACAGAGTACGTTTTTGTCAGTCTTTTTTTTTGTTTTTATCGTTTTTGTACAGAGAACTGTCAAAAAATTATAGACGCACTTTTATTTTATCAAGAAAAAGTTAATAAATAAAAATTATCAACTAAATAAATCATAAACTAAATAAATTGATAATAAGTGGATCCTCCTGCTTTAGTTTAACTTCAAAAAAACATCTCGGCATCGAAAAAGTGACCGGAAACTTCATCTCCTTGCAAATCTCTTTGTTGCATTGCGAAAGCAATGTCGTCGTGTAGGAAAGACGTCTCGTAATTGCTCGTTAAAAAAAAATTCGTGGGCCCCCCCCCCCCCCCCCCCCCCCCCCCCCCCCCCCCCCGCCGGAAAGGGACAAGCCCCCCCCCCCCCCCCCCCCCACCCCTCCCCCCCGGGTTGGCCCGAAACGGCGGCCACCCCCCCCCTCCGTCCGCTTTTTCGTTTTTTCCCCTCCTCCCCCCCCCCCCCCTTTTTTCTTTTTATATTCCCCTGTTTTGAGAAAAAATTTATTTTTTTCTCCCCCCCGGCCCCCCGAAAAAAAACCCCCCTTTTTGGGGAAACGAGGGGGGGAAAACCCCCCCCCCTTTTTTTCCCCCCCCCCCTTTTTTTTTAAAAGGGTATATCTGAAAATTACTCGTTCATCTCGATCGATCAACTTTTTCATCACAACACAACAAAAACTAAATAAATTAAGAATGTGTAGGCCATTCTTGCTTTAGTCCAACTTCAAAAAGACGTCTCAAAAATTCAAAGTAGTCTCGTATTCTTCAATTGCAGAGATTCCCGGCTTGATGATTTGAAAATTGTCTTTTTTAGGTGGCTCATTCGGCTTATTCACTTTCAGCCCATGATTTAGTGGCTTGTAGGCTGTAGGCATGACTTCGGTCGGTCGTTCTTTGCGCTCGTCGTACGTCTACGTCTTCGTCGGTAGACTAAATCGATCTGGTACTTACGTCGGAGTGCAAAGAACGACCGATCGAACCCATGTCTAGTAGGTAGTAGGTGAGATAGCCAAATGAAATAAGCCAGATACCATACGGTACAAAATTTCACGGTGTTTCCGATGCTGCTATTTGCTTTTGCAAAATGATTATAGACGCACTTTTATTTTATCAAGAAAAAGTTAATAAACAAAAATTATAAACTAAATAAATCATAAACTAAATAAATTGATAATAAGTGGATCCTCCTGCTTTAGTTTAACTTCAAAAAGACATCTCGGCATCGAAAAAGTGACCGGAAACTTCATCTCCTTGCAAACCTCTTCTGCAAACCTTGCAAAATGCAAAAGCAATGTCGTCGTGTTGGAAAGATGTCTCGTAATTGCTCGTTCATCTCGATTGATCAACTTTTTCAACACAACACAACAAAAACTAAATAAATTAGAATGCATAGGCCATTCTTGCTTTAGTCTAACTTCAAAAAGACGTCTCGGAATCGTCTCGGAAAAGAGAAAAGGTTTTCGAGCGCTGTCACCTAGTCGATTCAAGGCTTCTTGAGATTTCCTTATCATTAGTTTCTGTTTATCTACCTTGCTTATCTTAAGCCGGCCAATACTTGGCTATTGTACTTACAGAAAGCTTTCCAAAAAGTCTTTTCGTTCCTTTTCGTCCTTTCGTTTAAAACCAACAAATGCACCAATTGAACTACGGTTTATTTCATTAGAAAAGTCAATTATTTGTCTGATCTGGTCTGGTTTTGTCTGACTCTGTGCCTGTCTAATTATTAGGTTCGACTTGAAATCGAATCGAATGATATGGATCTGTTTTTGCCCTGTAGTGCTGACCCAGTAACTCCTACAAATTGTTCTCAACCCAAAATTTCAATTCCTCTTTTTAGATTCTCGAATCAAACGCCGTCGCGGTGAGCTTCGCCGAACGAGTGTGGTATCCATTGGGTGTGGCTATGCCGTTCTTTGTCGCCTGCTCATGTATTGGAGGTATGAAACGCACCCAGAGCTTCTATGAATCTGAGTGATCTGCATTAGATTTGTAACAGAAACATCTGTCGATCCCTTTTTGCCGTTGGGAATTTAAGGTTTTTGCCTCATAACTTTGGATGGATATTATATTTTGAGTTAATATTTGTATCATTTGACGCGCGCTTCGATTCTGCATCGAATAATAGTCAAAATAATCAAAATAAAAGGATTGGTGCTGAGAAAAACACAAAAAACCTTAAATTGCCGACGGCAAAAAAGAAGAGACAAATGTTTTCGTCACAAATTTAATCACAAGTCCCAACAAATTACTGATCTTCAGGGATGAACGGTCTCCTTTTCACCGGTAGTCGAATGTTCTTCGCTGGAGCTAGGTTCGTTTTTTCTTTTAAAGAAATCAAAGCTTCTCATTCAGAGATGGTCTTTTACCAGAAATCTTTTCGATGATCAATCTCAAATATATCACTCCGATTCCATCATTGCTCTTTTTAGGAGGTTTGTCATTACTAGCATTGTTTGAAAAAGTCAAAGCCAAGTTAAAGCCAAGTTAAAGCCAAGTTAAAGCCAAGTTAAAGTCAATGGCTGAAGTCAATGGCAGAAGTCAATGGCAGAAGTCAATGGCTGAAGTCAATGGCTGAAGTCAAAGGCTGAAGTCAAAGGCTGAATTCAATGGCTGAAGTCAATGGCTGAATTCAATGGCTGAATTCAAATATTCTTTATATTAAAGTGAACTTTTTAGTTCTTTCAATCGGGATGTTGTACTCCGGAAAAGTCTATGCTCTCATCAATTATCTGGCTTTTGCTGAAACCCTTGTTGTTTTTGGTTCGGTGGCCGGTTTGCTTTGGATGCGCTTCAGTCGGCCAAATATGGAAAGGCCTATTAAAGTGGGTTCAACTGCTGTTGATGGCTTAAATGAGATGGCTTACAAGGCTATAGAGCTCGTAAGCCATCTCTGCCAGGTTATGCCAGGTTATGCCAAAGTTATGCCGGAAGCCGGGTCGAATCTGGGGTAGACTAGTACATTAGATCAGGCTAAGCACTTGTCTACGTTATTAGACCTGTCTACGAATCCGGACTGGTCTTTCTTGCTCTTGACTTAACCCGGAAAATGTTTTTCAAAGCCTGTACATGGAATTGAATATTATTTTAGAAAGTGATCCGTCTTATTCAAGAATTTTAGTTCAACATCATCCTCCCAATCATCTTTTTCGTTATGTGCATCTTTCTGCTGGTTTTCCCGTTCTTTTCAGAGGTATACTAATTGAAATCTAATCTCAGTTTTTAGCAGTAGATGCACTTTCCTTAAGGGAAAGCTGCACTCATTTCTTGAAGTAGTGAGTAATTTCTTGAAGTCGACTTGTAAATATAGTCATGGACAAAAGCCTTTTAACCCTCATGTTGCAAAACTGATTCGCTCTAAAATAAACAGCCTTGGTTGGGAACTTTTGGCGCATCCCGCATACAGTCCGGACCTCGCCCCTTCTGATTACTATTTATTTCGGACCATGAGTAATGAGCTTGCGGGAGAACACTTCGATTCGGAAGAAGCGGTCAAAAATTGGCTTTGAAAGTTTTTCGATTCAAAACCAAAATCCTACTACGAAAGAGGAATCCGCAAATTGCCTGTAAAATGGGCAGAAATCGTTAATAATAATGGAAATTATTTCGAATGAATTCATGGTTTTATGTTGTATAAATTTTAGTTCAAAGTCCCGCAGTTTTCAATTCACCGACCCAATAATTGGCCTTTCTAATAAAACCAACCCTATTCTTTTTGGCGGGGTCCTTTTATTGCGTCGGGTTACGGTAGTTTCCGACGTTTGGCGCGGAAACGTCTGAAAGGCAAAGTATACGGTGGACGGTCCGAAAGGCATCTGCCGTCAGAATTTTATTATTTCAAGAGAGAATTCCTTTAAATTGATTTAAAGTAAAATGAAATTAAACCCAATTTTTTTAATTACTTTTTTAATTATTAATTATTAATTATTATTTTTAATCTATTGGGTTGGTAAATTGAAAACTGCCGGCTATTGTCATTTGTCACAGTTTGAGCACTTTCTTCAAAAGAAACCCACTTTGGTGTCAATAGAAAAGTTGTAGAGAATCAAAAATGAAGCTTATATCCAAATTTTCAGAACGATTCAAAAAACGGTTTTCAAGAAATGTCAAATTTACGAATTTTCACAAATGAAATGACGGAAAAGGAGGGGGAGGGGAGGGGGGTTACGGTATCTGTCTGTCTTTCTGTCTGCCTTACTATACGGGCATTTCCAGCCGTATTTTGACCAATATTTCATTTTTCATTTTGGTTTTTAAGAAATGCCAAATTTACGAATTTTCACAAAACTTGCATTTTAAGCGAAACTACTAAGTGTATCTTTTTGGAAATTTGGCTCTAAGCCTAATTTTTGATTCTCTACAACTTTTCTATTGACACCAAAATCGGTTTCTTTTGAAGAAAGTGCTCAAACTGGGACATTCCTCCATTTTTGAGTCTCCAGTCCTCCATTTTTGAGTCTCACACTTGTCTCAGACACAAAACAAAATCCTACTACGAAATTGCCTCCGCAAATTGCCTGTAAAATGGGCAGAAGTGGTCAATAATAATGGAAATTATTTCGAATGAATTCATGGTTTTATGTTGTATAAATTTTAGTTCAAAGTCCGGCAGTTTTCAATTCACCAATCCAATAAAATTAGAGATAATAAGCTCTTTAAATCTTTTAACTATTTGCAAATTGGTCGGATTTGGACCAAGATATACAAAGAATAAACTTCGAAAAACCAACGTGAAAAGACTTTTGTCCATGACTGTAATAGAAGAAAGTGTTCTTGAATTAGTGGATTCGTTTTTGAAGAAATTCCAGTCAAAACTTTTTCCGAGAACTTTCTTTTCAACCTAATACAATTAAATCTAACAAAATCAACACAAAAATCAGCACAAAAATCAACACAAAATTCATTTCAGCCAGCCGAGCTCTTCGTTAGCGTGGCGCTGATTCTCAGCGGTGTGCCGGTGTATTTCCTTTTTGTTGTTCTAAACACACGGATACCACGATTTCTCTATCAACCGTGGGGTGGGTTTTCCATTTTGGAAGTGTCCAAGGCCAAGGCCAGGCCAGAAGCCAGCTACAGATCTCTGGTTCTAGCCTGAATCTAGCCTTACCCTTGATTTTCACAAGAGATTTGATTACCTATCTTTAAAGCTATTCTTTCAAACTAATTTTCTACATTGATTTCAAAATTTGATTGATCAAAATTGATGGTTCTTTTGGCAGCTCATTTGTCTCTTAAAAAAACTTCAGCTCTTCAGATCCTTGATAGTATAATGGTTAGTATTCTCGTCTGTCAAATGCGATTTTTCCCGTTCAATTCCAGTTCAAGTTCAATTTCCGGTTGGGGAAAATCGTGTAAAAGTTGCTAAAAATCAGATCGAGTTGACTTTTCGCATATCAATTTAAATCTCTTTTTCCAAAATTTACATATTACGCCTTAAATCTTAACATACTTTACGCATTAAAACTCGAAATTTCCAGTCCGTTTCACGCATTTCATCCAATATCTATGCTATTGTGTGCCCGAGACTCCACACGAGGATTGAAAAGATTCAAAAACGATTCAAAAACTATTCAAAAACTTCAAAAACTTCAAAAACTATTCAAAACATACCTATTTAACTTCTTTTTAAGCTTTCTTTTTACTTAAACTTTGCTAAATTTAACTCAAACTGCAGTTTCTCCCCTCAAAACAATGTTAAAATGACGTTTTTTTTGGTTTTGTTTTGATTTTCTGGCTAAGCCATAATGCGCGACCGGGAAGTGACCTGTGTCACACTGTGTTGTTTTTATTATTTTGTTTTTTATTGACCCACAAGCGTTTTTGATTGACCCAGGAGACTACAAAGCAAAGCCCAAAATCACAGTAAAAGTGCTGGTTTCACCTTTTGCTCTATATCTCGACTTGCAGGCGTCGACTCGGTAGCTCTTATTGGAATCTTCATGAAATTCTGACTTGCAAAAATACAATTTGTACGGGGTGCTCACCTGTAAGAACATCGAGAAAACGGGCGTCGAAGTTGGGCAGCTTTTGTAGATTTGGAAGAAAGAACCCAGGAAGCTGACTGAATGCGCCAGGAAGCTGACTATGCGCCATATTTGGACGAAATTCCTACATCTGGAGGAACGTAAGCTACTAAGGGCTACTAAGTTAGAGAAAATTTGAATTTCGTAAACGGCTACGACATATATAAAAATAATCTCTGTCTGTCTGTACGCGCGTCCCCTTTGAGTATTTTAAAAAACCCTAAAACACGTGTCTAATAAAATTTCATGTAGTTGTGTCTTTTCAAAAAAATTTTGCAAAAAGTCAAAGTAGGCCATGGGTACAACGCTGAAATTTGTATCCGTTTCTGATCAGGGAATCCGTTTCTGGCAATCATTTACGATTTCAGAGAAACTGCAGTCTTAGATTAAATTTTTCAAAATCTGTTTTTGAGGCTTTTATCATTGCCAAATTTTTCACTCTCTTTACAATTTTGAATTCAAAATTTTTCAAAAAAAAAAAACCAGGTTGTGCTTTTTTTTCTTGTTTTAACTGAACAAACTTTTCAGTTTTAGAAATTTATAATTTGAAAGTTTCATATTTAAAAGTTTATTGTACTTTTAATCTAGTCCTTTTTTTAGCCATTAAATTCAAATTTTTAGCCCAATCCCAAGGTAGGCTAATTTCCGCAAATTTTTTTTGCGCAACTGGGTCATTTGGCGCAACTTGCCATAAATTTCTTCTAGGTCGACCAATTTTTATGATTTTGGTTTCATTTTGTAGATCTCAACAAGTGCAACAAAGTAACACCAAAATCATAAAGATTGGTCCACTTAGAAGAAAGCTATGGCGAGTTGCGCAAAGAATTTGGCGCAGAGTAGCCCCCCCCCCTCTTTTTAGTAGCCATCCCCCCCCCTCAGGGAGTTCTTTAAAGAACCGCGTGATGAACGAGCTGAACAAGATGCCAATGGGAGCTCGGTCAACGCTAAAGTTGAAGGATCTTCAAGTGAATCGGATGAGCTACCTACAAAGAAAAAGAGAAAGGCCATTGATGTCAAAACGAAATTGGCTGTTGCAAAGATGGGCAATGTTTGGATCAAAGCAGCCGTTGCATTCTATAAGATCGATCGAAAATGTGTGCGTTCCTGCATCAAACAAGAAATCGAGCTCGAGAAAATCCACGGAAAACGCAAGAGACTCAATGGAGCCGTCATTTTAGTATCATTTGTTGCACTTATTGAGATCTACAAAATGAAACCAAAATCATAAAGAATGGTCGACTTAGAAGAAAGAAACGGTACTAGATTCGGGGGTGGCTACTTTGCGCCAAATTTTTTGCGCAGATCGCCATAACTTTCTTTTAAGTCGACCAATCTTTATGACTTTGGTTTCATTTTGTAGATCTCAATAAGTGCAACAAAATGACACCAAAATCATAAAGATGGGGAAAAGTTATGGCGAGTTGCGCAAAAAATTTGGCGCAAAGTGGCCAAGGCCGAATCTAGTATCGTTTCTTTCTTCTAAGTGAGCTAATCTTTATGATTTTGGTTTCATTTTGTTGCAGTTATTGAGGTCTACAAAATGAAACCAAAATCATAAAGATTAGCCCACTTAGAAGAAAGTTATGGCAAGTTGCGCAAGCGACCCAGTTTCGCAAAAAAAAATGGCGAAAATTAGCCTACCCCCAATCTCCTTTAAATATTTTTTTCGTGCAAAAACGCACCCCATCTGGTGCACGGCTAAAGGATTTCTTTCACCGCATTTTCCTGACTTTTGGTGCTCAAAAAAACGCATATTCTCATATCTACACAATTTTTATAATCAATTTTTTTGACTCTCAACAAGAATTACGGTGTTTCGTCTTTTTTTGCATTTTTCTGATGGATTTGCTTGATTTTTTTGGTGTGCTTTTTACTCAAAACTTGTAAACGCACGTCTTCTGCATTGATTTTTCACTTTTCCGTGCAGAAATAGGAAACTCAGTGCACCAAAAAATAGGCGTTTACGTTTTTTGAGCACAAAATACTTTTTGTTGATACTTTTTGCATTTTATGAAATGTTTGATCAAGTTTTTTACTGTTTTGAATAAACTCTTCGAATCAATACAGATTAAGCTTGTAATAAAAACATCTACCGATCCTTTTTGCCGTTGGGAATTTAAGGTTTTTCTTGTTTTTCTCAGCACCAAGCTTCTATCTTCACTATTTTGATTATCATTCGATGCAGAAGAAAATTGTGGGTCGAATGATATCAAAAACAACTCAAAATAGAATATCCATGCAAAGTTATGGGGCAAAAATTAAATTAAGAAGCTTTTGCCGTTGGCAATTTAAAGTTTTTCGTGTTTTCCTCAGCACCAAGCTTCTATTTTGACAATTCTAACTATGATTCGATGAAGAATCAAATTGTGTATCGAATGAGACCAAAATTAAATCAAAATAGAATATCCTTGCAAAGTTATGAGGCAAAAACCTTAAATTGCCACGGCAAAAGGTTAAGCCCCGCCCATAATCGGCGGATTTATGTTTTTAGCCAACAACTTTGGATGGATATTTCTATTTAATATTTGTATCATTTGAAGCGCAATTTGATTCTGCATCGAATGACATTCAAAATAATCAAAATAAAAGAGTTGGTGCTGAGAAAAACAAGAAAAACCTTAAATTCCCAACGGAAAAAGGTTAAGCCCCGCCCATTATGCGCCGGACTTAACCTTTTGCCTCATAACTTTGCACTGAATATTATATTTTGAGCTAATTTTGGTATCATTCGACGCGCAATTTTCTTCTGCATCGAATGATAATTAAAATAATCAAAATAAAAGGGTTGGTGCTGAGAAAAACAAGAAAAACTTTCAATTGTTAACGGCAAAAAGGGATCGACAGATGTTTCTGTTACAAATCTAATGCAGATCACTCAGATTCATAGGTGAGCATGTAGTAACTCTGGGCGCGTTTCATGCAGTCATCGCGTAGACTCTGAAATTGGAAAGATTGAGTTGAATTGAAGAGTTGAGTATCCATTTGAGTTCAATTGAGTTCAATAGGCTAAAGACTGAGGCAAGTTGTGGACTTTGTGCTCGTAAAGCTGTAAAAGCATACCCTTTCTGGTGCACTGAACTCTCCAAATTCTCGCAGTAACGCTTCGTTGTCCCGAGAGAAATGAAGAATTGAATGCGCCCGGGAGATTTTATGAGCACAAAGTACGATTAACAGTATGATTCAAGGAAATTTCAGGGTTTAGCTGATGATTTACACTAAAAATAGCACTTAAACTAACACTTAAACTATTGGCCCTTATTGGGCCACTATTGGCCGATACTTTAGCTCTTTCCCAATCGCTTTGCATAGCAAATTCCTGATTTGCATTGAAAACTGGCTGGGAAACGACACTTCAATCATTTGTCATTCACCAGATCAGATCGATTCCCGCAGCTTTCTCCTGAGTCTCCACTACTTTCCTCTGAAGTCTCCTCGTCGTCAGAGTCGGAGAGAATCGATTCGTGTAAACGATTCAATCGACCAAATAGTTCTAAAATTTTGATTTGATTTGGCATTTGATTTGGCTAAGTAGAGGATCAGTAGGCTAAGAAGAGGCTAAGTAGAGGCTAAGTAGAGGCTAAGTAGGCTAATTAGAGGCTAAGTAGGCTAAGTAGAGGCTAAGTAGGCTAAGTAGGCTAAGAAGAGGCTCAGTAGGCTCAGTAGGCTAAGTAGGCTGAGTAGGCTAAGTAGAGGCTAAGTAGGCTAATTAGAGGCTAAGTAGGCTAAGTAGAGGCTAAGTAGGCTATGTAGAGGCTCAGTAGAGGCTAAGTAGGCTAAGTAGGCTAAGAAGAGGCTAAGTAGGCTAAGAGAGGCTCAGTAGGCTCAGTATAGGCTAAGTAGGCTCAGTAGTGGCTAAGTAGGCTAAGTAGCTTTCTGAAGGGAAAATGAACCTGTATAAAATTGGTCATGCGTGATATAAGGTGCAAACAATGACTCGGAGCTTTCAATCAACAATAGAGTTGCTCGAGAGGCTCTGAAACGCTTTTGAATGAATCGTATATAAAAATCATTTACAAAATAACACTTATTCGACATTTTGCTAATAATACCGTACCCCCTTATATGTTTTTACCTCAAAAACGATGGACACCTTGATGAGCACAATGGGAAAAGGCATGGAGTGTAGAGAATGACAGCATCTGAAAGCTTCAGCTTTTCGAATGTACAATACGAAAACTCTATTGTAAGTATTTGGTTGTAAAGGAAATAACCAGACTCTGAGTGGGACTGGTTGTAAAAGGAATAACTAGAGCTGAACTAGAGCTAAACTAGAGCTGGACCAGAGCTGAACCAGAGCTGAACTAGAGCTGGACCAGAGCTGAACTAGAGCTGGACCAGAGCTGAACTAGAGCTGAACAAAATGAAATCTAGTTTGTATCATTCGAAAGATAGGTCTCTTCTCAAAAAAATGGCTTTTGAGAGATTTTGAAAAGCCTTTGTTTTTGAACTTTTTCGGACATTTCGGAGATGTTTCAAGTGATCGAAGCCTTGAAGAAATTGGGGCGCATTTCGAGAG